CTTTGGGCTTCCTCCACCCTTGCAGACCTGGCTCCTCTGATTTAGGGAGTTCTCCAAGGGCTGTCAGGAAATAGCAGGGGTACCTGGGGTCAGAGTGATGCCGGGTGGGGACAGGTGTGCACCAGGCAGCATGATGAGTACAAGTCAACACTGAGTGTTTTCGTTCCAGAGTGGCAAGCTAGTAACTAAGATGTTCCAAAAGATCCAGGATCTGATTGATGACAAGGACGCTCTGGTGTTCGTCCTGATTGACGAGGTAGGCATGTTCAGACATTAAACCTGTGGTGGAGGAAATTCAAGACTGAGTGCCTCTTACTGCTGTCAGGGCACAGCCAGCCCCTGGCCCAGCCCAGCCTCCATCAGGCGGTCGCTGTCTCATGCAGCCCTGTCCTCCTTGCCATCCTGCATGTTAAGCTTCTGGCACACACGGACACCTGACACCCATTCATTTGTTCATTCACTTGCTCAGTTGACATGTTCTGTGGCTGCCCTGTGGGGCCAGTGCTGTAATTTTTTTCCGTTGCTCTGTCCCCACAGGTGGAGAGCCTCACAGCTTCCCGCAACGCCTGCAGGGCAGGCACTGAGCCTTCAGATGCCATCCGTGTGGTCAACGCTGTCTTGACCCAAATCGATCAAATTAAAAGGTACTACAGTCATGTGCCACTTAACAATGGGGGTGCATGCACTGTTAGGTCATTTTGTTGAATGAACAGCATAGAGGCACTTATACAAACCCAGATGGCATAACCACTGCACACTTAAGCTATATGGTACAGCCTTTTGCTCCTCAGCTACAAGCCTGTACAGCAAGCATGTCAAACTCCCATCCCTGCCCTCATTTGGCTCGCCCTGTTCACCCTGGGAGGGCTGCACGCCTGTTGCCAGAGTCCAGGTGAAGCTGATCTTCCTAGGGGCTCCCTGGCCACACAGCTGCTTGTGAACCATCTGTATGCTGACCACGGTCCCTGAAGGCAGCACTGCCCCTGTGCTCAAGCCTACCAGGCTGGGAAGCGTGCTCCCAGGGCACCTTGTGCCATCCTAGGTCGGAGAGCAGAGTGGCAGTGGTGGCTCTCTTGGAATTTGGAAGCTAGAGGGGGAAGTAGCTGGTGAAGGGGATTTTAAGTCTGCTCCATGGTTGGCGATAGCTGTGTGATGAGCAGTTGTATGCTGTGCCCAGGCAGACGGGGTGTAGGTACTGGGGGAGGGGACAGAGATGGAGCAGTCATGGATGCCCTCAGAGATTAGACCTTTACCACAATTGAAAGGAGTAAGGGAACAACCAGCAGGTGTCTAGGAGAGCTTTCCAGAGGGCAGAGCAGTGACCAGAGCAAAGGTCCCCAGAGAGTGGGCCTGGCACGCTATGTGTGACCAGGAGCTCAAGAGTTGCAGGACCTCAGGAGGCCTCATGGGCTGGTATTGGGATAGGAAGGATAGCTAGCTGAACGACAGCTAAGTGCCCAGAGCTTGCAGGCAGCTCCTGACAATCCCTGTGTAGGGTAGGGAGTCACAGGCATGGGGTGACTGGTCCTCGCTCCTCTGCCTCCAGGCACTCCAATGTGGTAATACTGACCACTTCCAACATCACGGAGAGGATCGACGTGGCCTTCGTGGACAGGGCTGACATCAGGCAGTATATCGGGCCCCCCTCTGCAGCAGCCATCTTCAAAATCTACCTCTCCTGTTTGGAAGAACTGATGAAGGTGCTTTGATGTTTTTTCTCTTACTAACAAGTAGATTTTTTATATTTTTATAATTCCTTGACATAGGTTAAAATAGTTTGAATATACCTGGTAGAGTAAGGTATTTTGACAAGGAATTAACCATTTCTTTAGATTGAAAATTTCAGTTATATCTGGCAAGTTGCATTAATGGTCAAAATCATGGCCACTGACTCAATATTTTTGCTCTTTTAGCACAAAATTATCATCATGGTTGTTTGATTTACCTGCAGGCAATGAGTGGGTAGGAGGTGTGTGGGCTGTGGTCAGCATGCCTGGCAGGTTCTGGTTCTGACGGCCTTTGCAAGTGATCCGCTCTCTGGGCCTCATTTCTCTCCCCTGAAAGAAGAGCAGTGGAGGCCCTGGTTGCCAGGGAGGCCATCTGACAGGAGGCTCTGGTTCACGGGGAATCATCCTGACTAGACAAGATGCTCACAGCCTGTCATCGGCTACGGTGTTCATGTCCCTTTGGTCCCGTGTTCTGGTGATAGCAGTGAATGCAGCAATGTTCACAGTCTCTCATAATTCAGTCTAACAGGGACCTGACCTGTGCCTGGTGCCAAGAGCTCTGGGCACTGGGAGGACATGGGCTGTAACCAAGCCAGCTAACAAATGGGCATTTACATGGTGATCATAGTAAGGCATCATTGTAATTACTGATGGGGTGGAATCAACACCCCCCAACCTTGCAGCCACCTCCTGGCACCACGGATCTGGAACCCCAACATCCTCAATAAGGATGACACAGCCTCTGTGGCAGGGACAGGAGAGCTGGGCTCAGCACTCTCCTGGTGTGCACATCCCATCCTACTTTTCTGGGGAGTGGGAGAGGCAGAGAGGTCCCAGGGAGCTTTGACTTGAGACCCCAAGTGGCCATCAGAAGTGTTGCGGCGCAGTACTGCTGCTAAGCAGCCAGTGCGATGGCAGGTAGGAGCAGTTCTGTGAAAACTGAGCCCTCAGTGGGGTGTTGTACTCACACTTGTGCTGTGAATCCAGGGATGTTCTAAGGTTCAGCCAAGTGCATGGACTTTTTCTGGGAGCTGAGCATGTGGGCAGGGGTAGTTCTTACACAGATTACAGGAAGCTAGGGTATTCCAATGCTACAGTGGAGATTAGGCTGGTCCTGAAAGCTGATGTGTGATTGTGCCCTCTCTGTCAGGAGCCTGAGGTCTGCCATCTCACACAAGCCTGCAGGACGGTGCCTGATAGTGGCGGGGTCGCAGGGGCAGCTCGGGAGGCTGCAAGGGAGCCTGAGGTAGTCAGTCACTTAGGCCGGGGTCAAAATACATCGAGCTCAAACCCTGCCTCTTAATTTTACCCACGACCCTCATCAAACCTCCAAAATGTGCAGAGGAAGTCTTTCCTTCATTCTTCTCTCCCCTGGCTCCCAAAAAAAACAGTTCATGTTGAAATTCATTCAGTGGTGGCAGTCTGGCAGCCCACTGTGGCTACTTGGCAAAGAACATCCAACATGCAGGCTTGTGGTCTACAAGGTGCACTCTGACTCAGATCCTGGGTGTGTCATTCTACCAAATGAGAGTCTTATCTTGAAAACATCAAACAGACCCTCCTTGAAAGGCAAAGTCCTGGCTCCAAAGCCCAGCTCTGCCGTCTGTGGGTTGTGTCATGTCCTTGAAACCAAATATCAGACTGAACTTCCATGTTGACACGTGACATGTGAAGACACATTTTGGCCAAAAGCATAGAAGAGGCTGAGTCACTGCTGGTTTCTGAGACGTGTTTTGTTGTTTGTATTCTTGCCTTTGTTTGAAGAATCGGAGATGTGTGTTGGGGAGGAGTGTGTGCGTGCGTGTTCACGGGCACCGGCGAGAGATCGGGGAAACCAGCCTATTTCCCCGTCAGCTGTGCTTGTTAAATGGCCCATTTGCGTTTTGTAAGATGTGATGTGCTTGCTCTTTCCATGCTGTCCTGTTGCTGACATATGCATTCTGCCCCTGTCTTCCCAGTGTCAGATCATATACCCTCGCCAGCAGCTGCTGACCCTCCGAGAACTGGAGATGATTGGCTTCATTGAAAACAACGTGTCGAAGTTGAGCCTCCTTTTGAGTGAAATTTCAAGGTGCGAATGGACCTAATTTTTGTAACCAAGAAAAGTCCATTTGCTGTAGTGATAGGGAGTCAAAATTGACTGTAGCCGTCTGGGGTCAGGGTTTGGGGTCAGAAGATAGAGAGTTGAACCCCAAGTCATCATACACAGGCTGGGGGAGCTTCGGGAGCCCCCTAGCCCTGGGTTCCTGGTCCAGAGCTGCTAGAGCTTTTAAGTTCTCAGATGGCTTTGGGGATCAAATGTAGGTGGAGAAATGGGGCAGAGCCTCCAAGGACAGTTAGAATTCAGGGTAAAGTGGAGAGAAATCTGCGAGGCCGCAGGCACCATGTGTGCAGGGACCTCAGGTGGGTTGCACTGCCAAGGGCCAATTCCAGAGAACTTCTGAGTTCTGACCAGAGTTTGAACTTTATTCTGAGGTCGTGAGACGTGTGGAAGGTTTTGAATGAAGGGATAGCATAAAAAACAGTATTATTATTATTTTCATATATATATAATTATTTTTATACTTTTAGAGTGGGAGAAAGTAGAGGGGGGAAGAGAGAAAGAGAAACATCAGTGTGATAGATCAGTTGCCTCTCATACACGCCCTGATTGGGTTGGAACCCCCAACCTGGGTATGTGCCCTGACCAGGAACCTAACTGGTAACCTTTCATTGCACAGTACAGTGCTCCAACCAACTGAGCCACACTGGCCAGGGTAGGAATAGTACTTTTTAAAGACTTTAAAAAAAAAACTTATTTCAGAGAGAGGAGGAAAGATAGGAAACATCAATGATGAGAGAGAATCCTTGATCGGCTGCCTCCTGCACACCCTCTACTGGGGATTGAGCCCACAACCCGGGCATGTGCCCTGACCAGGAATTGAACCGTGACCTCCAGGTTCATGGGTCAACACTCAACCACTGAGCCACACCAGCTGGGCTAAAGGGTATTTTTTTGGATTATCTGTTGAAGAAATTTAAATCAGTTGAGATGAAACAGAGGGGAGCAGTTCAGAAATTTGTACGAAGATTAATAAAGATATGAGGTAATCCATGCCGCTGGGCAGGCGTTGGGTCCCTGAGCCCAGCAGTGCCTGTAGGTGGCACATCAGGGCAGCAAGAACCCTTCCCCACCTGGAGCAGTAGCTGAGGGCTACTCGAGGGGTGTAAGAGAAGGGATGGGTAGGAAAACCAGTCCTAAAACACAATTGTTCACTTGATATCCCCGAACTTGGCTTACATTCACAGGAAGAGCGAGGGCCTCAGTGGCCGTGTCTTAAGAAAACTCCCTTTTCTGGCTCATGCCCTGTTCATTCAGGTAAGTCTTCCACAGCCACTCTCCACCTCTGGGTACTTTTCTCTTTACCACCCACTCTGTCCAGCAGTGTCTGGCCTTGCTAGGAGTCACACTTAATGCCATTGGGATAGCTGCCTTATTTCACCTCAGTTTCTAAAGGGACAGGCTCCTGGGGCTTAGGAGGTGCTAGCCTTGGTGCCTTAGTGGTGGGACCCGCCAAGCCCTTTGGGAGGAGGTGGCCATGCTGTGTGTCTCTGCTCGAGCACATCCAGAGCTCACAGCCAAGCCTCCGAGAGGTGCTCATGCCCCTTGGGTCTGGGCCAGCTCGCTCAGAACAGCTGCCCGGAGTTGCCTCTCTGGCGTCGGCATCATGGAAGAGATGAGTGCTGCCAGTGGCCCTCAAAGGCGAGGGTCACCCCTCAATTCCTTCGTATCTATCCTTCCAGGCTCCCACTGTCACCATCGAGGGCTTCCTCCAGGCCCTGTCTCTGGCGGTGGACAAGCAGTTTGAAGAGAGAGAGAAGCTTTCCTCTTGTGATTGATTGAGCAGGGCTCCCTGCCTGTGGTTTTCAAATCATGCATGCAACCAGTGAGGTCACTTCCCCAGAAATCTGTACAACGTGGCATAGACCTGCAGGGCCAAGCATTATGAAAAGAAAGTGCTGTATTTATATATTTTAAAATGCATGTTAGAAGGCAGGTGGCCTGTCATTTTCACTGTTTTAAAGGGAGATAGTTCAAGTTCTGTTATCTCTTTGTACAGACCTGTCTAGATGTGTTTCATCCTGCCTGTGGTTGATCGGACACAAAATGTTTACAAATTTTGTTTAAAAATGATGACTAGTATAGGTTAGAGAAACAAAAGAGAAATTACATTGCCGTAAATAAGAATCTGGTCATAGCATTAAAAATGTAAAAATCACTCAAGATAGAAGGTGGCACTTGCTACCTGCAGTGAGCTTGTTTTACTTACTGCAGACATTGCAAAGACTATTTAATGCATAAGGAAAAGCTATTCCTGTGTTACAGAAATCAAGAAAAAATTCTAGGTAAAGTGTTCTTCACAGCAGTCAGATGTGGCCTCCTTGTGGGAAGGCAGTCCTCGACGTTCCTCCGAACGCCTGTCAGATGCCCCTCAGCCACGCAGGCAAGGGTGCAGCAGCGCCTCTCCCTGCATTCAGTTCAGTAGCGTTATCACAGTTCAAGTGAAAATTCACATTAACAGATGTGAAACAACTGGCCATTAATTGGTATATTCCACAGAATATTATGTTTTGCTTTTATCTCACGCTAAAATAAATTTTATATTAGTGTTTTGTACACATTTTTTAAAGAACGTGTTACCTTTGGTTATACAGCTTTTTTTAAGTATTAAAACTTGTGTGTTTTTTCCAGAATTTTCTTGTTTTGTTTCTCTTATCTCTCCCAGGCTCTGAATATTATTTAAAATTTGCTCACACGATTACTTAACTTTTAGCCTGTTTTATGCTTTGGGGATAAGGCAGAAGAGTCTGTGCCTGTTTTGTGGGAACTGCACACACAGCTGTGGGGAGGGTTTCAGGCTGCACGGTGGAGGATCCCCAAGGCCATGGTACACTCTGTGCCATCTGCCATCTGTGCTTTCCTAAAGACCCTATAATGGGGTAAGGTGGGGTCTGGGTACCAGGACAGAAGGGGGTGGGATGCTCCACACCCTAGTATTGGGGCAGGAGTAGGCAGGGACCATGAAACTACTTCATTTCACAGGTTTGCTGCTGAAATGCCCAATGTCCAGGGACCCAGGTGGAAGGAAGGGGTCTGGGGAGGAAAGGGAGAGCCTGGGGCACGGTGGATAATGAGATAGACAGCAAGGGAGGCAGGCATGGGGAAGGGAGCCCAGAAAGATGGGGTGGGCAGGGCCTTAGAGCCCAGGCTCTGCCGGCAGAGGATGAGAGATTTGGGGGTGGGTGGGGGCTATTGGTAACATTCACCAGACCTAGACTCATTTCCCAGAAAGTGGGTTCTAGGGGTTTGTGGGTGCAGCTGACACATCTTCCCATGGGCCACTAGAGGGCGACACCACTCTGTGGGATGGGATGGAGGGAGTTGAGGGCTCACTAAGGCCCCAGATGGAAAGATGGTCCGCAGAGGTGGCCAGCCCGGCCATGTGTCCCTGTTCAGGCCCTGCAGTCTCTCCATCCTCCCTACAAGCCATGTTTGTTCATGAGCTTGCATGTGTGTGTGTGTGTGTGTGTGTGTGTGTGTGTGTGTGTGTGCAGGGGAGGGGGTGGGGCAGGGCATGGGAACTTGCCTCCTCAGGACCTAGCTCACCAGACCTGTAGAGAGAAGGGACATAGGCCATTCCCACACCCACACGTCCTTCCAGAGGAGGCCTCTGCTTGAGATGGGAGGGCCAAGGTATGAAGAGGGGTCATGCCTGGGGCCGCAGGCGAGGACACAGAACCTGCGCAGGCTGTCATGGGCACCTTCTGGGATGCAGTCAATCCCTGAGATGCACAGGCCTGACAAGGCTAGTTCCCACTGCCCTGCCCGTGAGAGTCAGGTTTGTGAAGGGGTGGGTGGAACCATGTTCCTGTGCTGGGCCACTCATTCCCCATTGGTGATGCAGACCAGAGCGCTGTCCCCAGCAAGTCCACAGGGCCATAAGACTCAAGGGAGGGGAGCGTGAGCACCACGGATGCCATGTGTGTGACTACACCTGGTCCTTTCTGAGTCTTCCAAATTAGTGGGCACGAGCCATGGACCTGAGTCCCCTGGGGCACTGCAGCCATGAGGGGCAGGGACATGCCGAGGGAACCACTGGTCAGCCAAGCCTGAGGGCGTCTGGTCCTGCCAGGGTCCTTGGTTTCTGCAGGGCCAGGTCGTGAGTGAACGTTGAGAATAGGTGTGTCCCCCGCACGCTGCTCCCCATGTGGGGTTGGTTTCTGAGGGTTCCACTTGGCCTTCCCCACTAGGATGGCTCTCATCCCCAGGCTAGGGGCCTTCCCCACTGTTGGGATGGCCCGGACTGCCAAGTGTGTCAATCCCAATGACCCATGGGGCAGGGGACGCGCCAATGACTCCTGGAAGCTGCAACTGTACGAGGCTCTAGCCGCACCAGCTCTGGTTGGCCCAGCCACGGAGGAGGCCCCAGGCCCCTCTGCACAGGCCAGAGGGAGTTGCGTGGAAAGGCCAGTGCCTAACTTTGGGAAAGTTACTCTGGGTTGGTAGCCCTGGGGGCTATCGTGATGAGCTGATGGCCCTAACCCTGGGAAAGATGAAGTGGCTTGGATGCAGGTGGAGATGCAAGATCATGGCAGAGACGGTGCTCCCCAAAACTCCACCTCTGATCGTTCGCTTCCCCAGCCTCCCTTGAGTAGGTGTGGCCTGTGGGGTGAGAAGTGGGATATAAGGAGCTTCTAAGGCAGATGACCGGCTCCCCAGGGGGAAAGCAGCCCCCACACCGCCACCCCCCAGGGGGAAGGCAGCCCCCACTCCGCTCCGCTCATCCCGGCCCCACTGTGCCTGCCCGCCACCCCTGTGCTCTGAGCAAGAACGGGCATCGCTGAGTCCAGCCGTCACACCTGCACTCGGGCGAAGCTGCTCACCTGCTGTGGAAATGGCTCAGGGCAGTAACAACACCCAGGACTGAAGGTGACGAGGACGTGCCCCTGCCATTGAGGCCAGTGAGGCCTCCATTCAGAGACTCAGACTCCTCGTCGGAGGCACCACTCAAGGCCCAGGACAGAAGCGATGGCTCGTGGGGGCACTGGCTGTGACTCCTGTCACCATGACGAGGCTCCCGGAAAACCTCTCTCGGCTGAATTATCCTTTTTAACCGGAAATGCTGTTTCTCTGTCACCCGAGCTATCATTTATGACAGGAGACCCGCTTCCTCTATCACCCGAGTTATCATTTATGACTGACATCATGTTCTCTAAAACCTGGGTTATTTATGACTAGAAACCCTCCTCTAAAACCTGAGCTATCACGTGACTGGAAACACTTTGTGTATAATCACCTGAATTATCGTTTATGACTGGAAACGTTGCTTCTCTGTCACCTGAGTTTTGATTTAGGACAGGAGACATTCTTCCTCTATAACCTGAGTTATCATTTATGACTAAAAACAGTTGTTCTCTATAAAACAAAGACTGGAAACATTTTGTTTTCTGTCACCTGAATTCTCATTTATGATTGGAAATATTTTACTTTCACCGGAGTTATTGTTTGTGACTGAATACATTCTTGCTTTATCACCAGTTATCTTATATGACTGAAAAATTCTTCCCCTGGAACCCGAGTTGTCATTATGACTGAAAACCTTTCTCCTGTATAACCTGAGTTACTACTTATGATTGAAAATATTTTGTTCTATTACCTGAATTACTATTTATGACCCCGAATTTTGTTTCTCAAGTACCTCATAATTTTTTCTCTATAACCTGAATTATATTAATACTGAAAACCTTCTTCCTCCAAAGCTTTCGTTATCATATTATTGAAAACGCTTTGTGTCACCTGAATTATCATTTGTGACTGGAAATGTGTCTCTATCACCTGAGTTATCACTTATGACTTGAGACATTCTTCCTCAATCAGCTGAGTTATCATTATGACTGAAAACATTTTATTCTCTATCACCTGAGTTACAATATTTGACTGGAAACCATCTCCCTCTAATCTGAATTACCATTTATTACTGAAAACATTTTGTTCTCTATTACCTGAGGTAACGTTTATGACTGGAAATCTTTTTCTTCTACTACCTCAGTTTTCATGTATGACTAGAGGTCCCGTGCATGGGTGGGGTCCCTCTGGGCGACCTGCAGGGATCGGGCTGAAACCCGCAGTGCAATGCCACCTGCAGCTCCTACCTGCTGCTCCGCTCATCCCGGCCCCACTGTGCCTGCCACAGGCTTGTGCCCAATCAGTCCCCATCAGGAGAGGTTCGCACTGCTGCAGGGGAATGGCCTGAGGGATCGGGCTGAAACCGGCTCTCTGACATCCCCCGAGGGGTCCCAGATTGCGAGGGCACAGGCCAGGCTGAGGGACCCCACTGGTGCACCATCATCTAGCCGGGGAGGGACTGCGGGAGGGCTCCAGTGCATGTCCGGCCCATCTCACTCAGTCTCTATCTACAGGACCCCAGCAGCAAGCTAACCTACCGGTTGGAGCATCTGCCCCCTGGTGGTCAGTGCACGTCATAGCAAGCAGTTGAGCAACCTTAGCATATCATTAGTGTATTATGCTTTGATTGGTTGTTCGATTGTTCTGTCATTCAGTCTATTTGCATATTACCCTTTTATTATATAGGATGGGAAACATGCTCCCTCTAATTTCATGACTTAATCTCACTCTCCCTCTAATTTATGACTTAAAACATATTGTTCTCTATCAACTGAGTTGTCATTTATGAATGATAAGGTTTTTCTGTCAACTTATTTATTACTTAAGACAGGCAACATTCTTCCCCTATAACCTGAGTTATCATTTATGACTGGAAACATTTTTCCTATTTCATCTGAGTTGTCATTTATGACAAAAAATGTTCTCTATAACCTGAGTTACCATTTACAATGGAAAAATCTTCTTTTTCAATCATCAGAGTTAGCATGACTGAAAACATCTTGTTCTCTGTCATCTTAAATAACATGTCGAAAACTGTTTCTCTCTAACCTGAGTTATCATTTATGATTGAAAACATTATGTTCTTTCTCCAGAGTTATGACTGGGAACCTTTTACTCTATAACCTGACTTACCATTTATTACTGAAAACCTTCTTCCACTATAATCTGAGTTACCATTTATGACTGATAACTTTTTTGTTCTCCCCCTGGCCAGGTGGCACAGTTGGTTGGAGCATCGTCCTGTACACTGAAAGGTTGTGGGTTTGATTCCCAGTCAGGGCACATACACAGGTTATGGGAGGCAATTGATCCATCTTTTTCTCTCCCTTCCACTCTCTCTAAAAATCATGTTTAAAAAACATATCCTCAGGTGAGGATTTAAAAAATAAAAACCTTTTTGTCCTCTATCATCTGATGGCTAGAAACTTTCTCCCCTATATCCTGAGTTATTATTTATTACTGAAAACATTCTCCGTCTAATGTGAGTTGTCATTTACGACTGAAAACCTAGCTCTAAAACCTGAGTTATCATGTACAACTAGAACCTTCCTCCTCTATAAACTGAATTTTCATTTATGATTAAAAATACTTGGTACTCTACCAATTGATATGTCATTAATTAATGACATTTTTCTACAGCGCCTCACTTGTTATTTCTGACTAGAAACTTTCTTCAAATATTGCCTGAGTTATCATTTATGATGGGAACATTTTGACCTCTGTCATCTG